TTTTTACACTTAGCTGTGTTCTCACAACTTTAGATCATTTATTTAAGCGATTTCTTATCCACTGTCTTGGCCAAGTTTGAATTAGGGACTCCGAATCACTTAGCTTAAGTTATGCGCAGATCTGGCATATGTCCTGAACCAAACTTGAGTCCGAGGTAATGAAACCATTTTCTTTTTTCTCATAAAGTGGCGTTTGATTGCACCTCATTGCAGAAATATGGTTTTATTAACTAAATTTCAGCCTCATTGATTTATTAGAAGGCCTTATTTATTAAAATGATTTCACTCATAAATTGTCCATCATTCAGGACAAACTTCAGTCCTGCTCTTTATTATATTTCTTTAGCACTTTGAGCTCTATTTGAATCAGCACCATTTTTACGAGGAGACAAATTGCCCTACCTTTCTTTCTAAATTTTTTTCAACCCGAATGGGGCAGGTCTTCCTGTCATCGGATGTAATATCCTTCTTGTACTGTAAGGCTTGGGTTAAGTCTATTATACCCTCTTTTTTGTATGTAAGTAGACTTTCGAGACTACCAGTAAATCAGTAATGTGAGATGTATTCACTCTATTTCGTTTAAGGTGATGAGGAACTGGTAGTAGAATCTTCCCACAATGATATGAGTACAGCTGACGTTTCTATTGAATTTTACATAGCCTTGCTTTCCCAAAAGTTGTTCTCATCCAGGCTGGACTGCAGTTTCGACCGCATCGGTCTTATTAACACCTGCAGCGGGAGTCGAACCATGACAGTGCAGAATGTGTGCTTGACGCGTTAACCTCTCGGCCACCTTGCCACGAGTGCCTTTGGGTCACAGGGCAAATGTGAATTTCAAAAAAGGCCAGGCCTTTTCTCATATCACATTCTTTGGTGGGGTTTTCAATGAAGCAAACGTATTTTTGCTATAACAATCGACTACGTTACCTATTTTTCGCATTTAAGTAGAGCTTCGAGGCTACCAGTAAATCAGTAATATGAGATGTATTTACTCTATTTCGTTTAAGGTGATGAAGAAGGGCGAATACATCTCATATTACTGATTAACTGGTAGCCTCGAAACTCTACTTAAATACGAAAAATAAGTAGCGTAGTCGATTGTTATGGCAAAAATACGTTTGCTTCATCGATACTCCCACCATAGAATGTGATATGGGAAAAGGCTTGGCCTTTCTTGAAATTGACGTATGCCCTGTGACCCAAGGACACTCGTGGTAATGTGGCCGAGTGGTTAACGTCTCAAGCTCACATTCTGCACTGCCACGGTTCGACTCCCGCTGGGGGCGTTGATAAGACCTATGTGAGGTTGAGACTATAATCTACCCTGGATGAGAGCAAGTTATGGGAAAGCAAGTCTATGTGAAATTCAATAGAAACGTCAGCTCTACTCAGATCATTATGGGAAAATTCTACTACCAGTCCTTTATCACCTTAAACCAAATAAAATGAATACATCTCATATTATTATACCTCTATGAACATTGCGTAATTTCGAGTCTAGTGATACTTATTATAACATATATTGATTGGAACTGTTGTCTTCTACGAATGAAAATGCATTTATAAATGCAAACCAAGCTTTGTGAAATTTGTACTTTCATCTCAAAGCGACCTTCATCGACAGTTTACACGAGAATTTACTATTGCTATTTGATCGTTCTTATTTTTTTTCCAAGTAATTTACTACAGGTCTGAACAACCTAAGCGGATATTTGATCTGATTTTTTCTCCTAATTTTTTCGTTTCAATTTCTTTGCAAGAAATAAGATCCGCTATGATCCGCATATTCTTGATAAGTTTTTTATATTTACTATGATTTTAATCTCTGGTTCTTTTTAATTCTGCTGATTCATTCATCAATCATCTGCTACTCTTCCTTAATTTACGATTATTTATTCAAAATGTTTTATTTGCTTTTCCTCAGATATTGAGAATATTCAGACGGAAATTCTTCGTGAACTAACCTCGCCCAAGCATCCACCGTTAGAGGTGAGCCTTATTTTGTAGAAATGAGGAATGGCTATTTCACTTTGCGACGTAATTTTTCAAATCCACTTTTTGTTCATTTCTTTATCTTTTAAGAACGGCCTAACCTGCATGGCACTCTTTGCGCGGAACTTTCGCTATTTTGTCCAGTTTCGACGATACAAGCTCCCGGTTGAGATGGTAATATTCTAGCATGAATCGTCTGACCTCTTTCATCATCCCTAGATTTTATTGAATTTGATACTGTATTTTTACTGTATATTGCAGTCATTCTTAAACTACCATCTATCTTGTAATTATATGTCGCCTTGACATTAGTTTTAGAGATATTTCCTTATTGCACTAATAGGCATCCAAATAGCCCTGACTAAGTCGCATATTTCTTGACTGGTCAATCTATTATGATAGTTATTTGTCAGTTAGGATGCTTTAACCCTTTGACTCATAATGGTTCCGGATGTCTTCCATCTTAAAAGTGCTTTGTTAAAATCTTTACTATAGCATTTCCATATTTCCATATTTCCATATTTGGCATATGCTTTTATTTCCACTATTAGTGTTAGGTAGTTATGACTTATTCTATCGGCAAATTCTGCCTGCTCATAAACTCAATAGTGCTATAGCGCCGTGTAACCCACTGGCTACATGCTCATCTTTAATCTCATAATGTTAGTTTGTCATGACTTTAGAGGTGCTTTATAATTCACTTATTCTATTCTTGTCGTCTTGCTACATGAGCATTCTATGAGGGTTGAATAGCCTGATCTATATGACTTAAATCTGGCTTAGCAAAATAAATGTCAAGGGAATGTATCGACAGGCTTTGTTATATACCGTAAGAACTAATATATTGCTCTGCTGGTACAGAGCAGTGCGGATCTCGAATGGCCTCTTTATCATTAACTTACGAATAACAGTAATATCTCTAAGAGACCACTTACAGAATAACAAAAGCGACACACAGGCCTCTTGATTTTTA